TAGGACACTCTTGTCGGACACTCTTGTGGGACACTCTTGTAGGACACCTTGTGGGACATCCTTGTGGGACACTCTTGCAGGACACTCTTGTGGGACACTCTTGCGGAACTCTCTTGTAGGACACTCTTGTGGGGCACTCTCGTAGGACACTCTTGTGACAGGAGCACTCTTGTAGGACTCTGTTGTGGGGCGCTCTTGGGCATAGTTGTGGGCACACCCTTGCGGAACACTCTTGTAGGACACTCTTGTGGGACTCCCTTGTAGGAAACTCCTATAGGCCACTCTTGTATGACACTCACTCTTGCGGGGCACTCTTGCCGAACACTCTTGTAGGACACTCTTGTAGGACTCTCGACGAGCGTTTCGCACGAGACTTCCTCAAATACTCACACTTGAAGTCTGCAAAGCAAGCGTTTCGTACGAGACTCCTTCCAAAAGTCAGGCGTCAAGTCTGCAAAACAAGCGTTTCGTACGAGACTTCCTCCAAAAGTCACGCGTCAAGTCTCCAAAGCGAGCGGTTCGTACGAGACTTCCTCCAAAAGTCAAATGTAAAGTCAAGCGGAAAGCCCATGGGAGCACACGATTCCAGCCCTTCCAAACAACGCCCGCTCACACGCCAATCCCAATGTCAGAGCGACATTCACCTCCACCACAGCTCGCGACCTCACGATTCCTTGTGCCTGCCACGAAATGTGACCTACGACACACCTCGCAACCTGACGATTCCCTGCGCCTGCCACGAAAATCGCACTTCCATAAATCCAAAACCGCACAAAGTACTGCGCCTGTCACGAAAAGTGACAATATCATATCATGTCAGCTTCAGACCACGTTTGGAATGATTTCGACACGTTCTGAGCACAGTCCAATTGAGTTGAGACTTGTCACGAAGCACAGCTTCGATGCAACACCCTGAAAGGCAAATCCCAATGTCACAGCCACATCCAACACCCCCAAAACACCACTCTCCAAACGCCAATCCCAATGTGACTACGCAGAAAACTGCGGATCTCACAAAACGCTGCGCCTGTGCAGTGAAATCATCCTCCATACTTCAACATCTTACGTTTCCACACGATTCCTCGCTATTTCACACGAATCTGACACGTCACATGCAAAACCCTCTCCAAAAGCTTCCCCCAATGGCAGCGCCTTAGCGCCCTACTGCGAACGGCTGCGGACGCTGAGACAACGGGTCGCGAACACGGCTCTACCCCCAGACCCCAGAAATAAACGATAACCCTTCGCTACGCATTCGGGAAAAGACCCAACCAATGGAGATTGTTGGAGGAACATCACTAAGCGGATTCCCCAAACTGACACGAGTTGCCACAATTCCCATGTCTTGGGACTGCAAGAGCACATGGTTGTTGGAATCAACAGCAGTGAACCAGTTGACTCATGTTCACTCCCATAGGGGTTTCGAAACAACCACTTCATATTTAGAAACAAAATGACATAAATCTACGTACCAGTAGGAACCAAATGAATAGTGTGAGCGCCTCTTCAAGGAAGATCCCAGGAGCTGCCTTGAAGAAGCGTGAGATATCCTGCGTCCTATTTAATAGCGCTATGTATCTATAGCTTACCTCTTCTAGCAGCCTACCCGCCTGGTTCCGGGCCAAAAACGAAGGCAAGGGAACTAACCCGCCCCCTGTTGCCGTTGACCCTCCAACCCGTTGCCTCTCGGTCACTCGGATCTGCCAGGGCTCCAAAAGGCCCATCCCTCGTGCTCCCGCTTCTTCGCGCAAAACGTCCTTGATGCGCGAGCTCCCTCGTGCACCGCGCTTCGGTGACGATCCACCCGAAAACGCATGATGTGCTGAAGGTGCTGCTCGGATCAAACGGGGAGGGTGTCATCAGAAAAGGAGAGAACGTCAGGAAGACACGGAATTCCAAGGGTTCCATGTTTGTTTTCCGTGCAACTGATTCTATGGGGGTCAGGAATTGTTTAAACAGGAACAAAAACACCTTCACCAGCATCACAGGTCTTTCGCAAACTCACAGGTTGCGGAAATCAATCAATTAAAAGACTTGGATGAGAAGGTTTAATCTTCGGCAAACATGAGTGATTCAGTTCATTCGAGCCCTTGAACTTCCGGAGGAATACAAAGGTGTAATTACCTCCTGCTTTCAGAGAAAGTCATGACAAGTCCGTCCCTTATGCACGGCAAACAAAGCGGACAAGCCAAGGCTGGATTGCCAAGGCTGGGGTGTCTATCAAAAGATTCCAAGTATTTAATTTCAAACTCAATTTATATTTAGAATTTTCAATTTCTATTCCAAAAAAATAGTCATGTCCTCTCAATTTCAACTTCCCTACCCAGCTGTGGGTCCTGTGATTGCCCAGTGATTCCATGTGATTCCCACACCTGGAAGCTTGGATTGTCCAGTGATTGCCAAACAAGAAAGTTGGCCAAGGAACCATGGCAAATTAGCGCATCGGATCTTTGCGAAGGTGGTCAAGGCACGGATGAACTTCGGGAACTCCTCGCGATCTGCGACCGGTGGTTTCAGTGCACGCCTTGGGGGACCAGAGACAAACACCCCTGCATTGGGACAACGTGACCGGCGCTGAAGCCGCTTCGACCGGGATAAAACGCCCCCACAACAGCCCGCCTTGGACACAACAGCGACCGGGGCTCTTCACACAAACAGTGGCGACAAGTAAGTAGCGATGCAGCAAAAACGGCCTGGGACCCTCGACCTTCGCTTTCCTTGTCAACAAACCACGGTCCTCACCCCACCAATGAGACACAAAGGTGTCAGCCTTTACACCGTCAAAGTTCCCATCTCCTGAGCAGCGTGCTTTGTTTGGTCCACTGCGGTTGTGTCATTGATGATCTCATATATATATATATGTACCCTAGGGTTCCATCCCCTAGTTTTAATACGTCGGTTCACTGAACCTCCATTGATCTGATCCTTTCCGATGAATATATATATATAGTTAAATATCCAAAAAATTGTTCTAGATTCTAGGACGGTTAGAACAAGCAAGGCCATGTTTGCTTTTTGGACAAAGCTGCAAGTTGTAAACCAAAAACAACATCATCAAGATGCATCCCTCAGAAACACAATCGGAGAAGAGGGCTCTCAAACTTCTTTGGTTTGCTGCAGAACCTCTGTGTAACCACTCTGAACACTGAAATTGAATATATTTTTTGAGAGCCTCACCTGAAATCTCTTCTCCCCAACGGATCCGCATGCGGATCCTACATGTCACTGGCATTCCTCACGTCCGTCACCGTCACTGTGGTGGTCTGCCCCGGAGCCTCGACGTAACTTTTCCACATAGGACACTTGGAGCTCTTCGCAGGATGGAATGATCCTTGGCCCAGGCCCATTCGGTCATCGCCGACCGACAACAGTGGTCTAGACTTTGAACCTCATGTAAAGCGTCCTAATTCAAGAAAGAGCCTTTACTTATGTGTGTACCTAAGTGATCCTAAGTCTATATTATATCGAATTTAGATAGACTTTAGATGAACCTAGTCATAGGCATATTACACAGTTTCCTCCTTTTGAAGGCCCATGCTTGTAAGGCATTTGGTTGCTGATGTTTGGACATTTTGGCAGACTTTACCATCTTAGCAAACAAGATTTCATCCAAAAATGCGGCTAAAGATTTTGTACCAATTCTCTGTGGCGCTCTTGTGTCAGGCAAGTTTATCTGTGTGATGCTGGCCAGCACTAGTCAGAAGGCTAGACTTCTATATACCACGGTCGAAGTGAAGAGTACTTTTTGAACAATCCCCTTCTCAGACCAAACACGGTTCAACATATTCACATGTTCGAAAATCAGTCTGTGGACATTTTCCTTCCCCTTGATCAAACAAAGCTTCTCAGGGTCCCAATCTGCGGTCGGGCCACATCTCCGCGGCCACCTCGTAGAGGTTGCGACCCTCAAAGCGTCCTGGTCATGGCGGGGCGTCGCTCTGCGTTTCGAGGCCATTGGTGGGAGTGGAAAATGTTGCAGATGTCCTCCAACACAGGTGTTTGGGAGGCTCTTTGACTTTTGTTGAATTGCTACCAGTAGGATGGATTGTGTTTTCGTGTAATTACTTGTCCTGAACTAGGTGGCCTTGTCCTCAACCAAAGGGTCTTTGAGGAGGCCGTAAACGAGGTGGTTTTGAGGGTTCTATACACACCAAAGACATGGATGTTTCTCCAGACACAGTAGAAAGACCTGGTGTGTTTTGGGATCCTTTAGGCATCTTTAGGCACAAATTTCAGCTGGAGCGCACGGACATCCTGTTTATTTCAGTCCAAGAAGATGCTTTCTGAAAGAGAACCACTCAATGCGGCTAAACAAAGGACACCAGAAATAGAAGGGAAGCATTGTTTTCTAAGTTCCTCATCATCCTTTAGCCATGAGAGGTAAACGCTTTAGCCGGCTGGAAATTTCCAAACTGCGGACCCGATCGACTCTGACCTGGTGCAGATTCTCCACAGCAAAAGCACGTCTCATGGTTGCTTTTCTCAGGCCTTGTCAGGAGAGAGTAGAGGGTACAGTATATGCAGTACGGTATGTGGCATACTGCCAAGAGAGAGGATATAAACGGTATGTGGCATACTGCCTGCAGTCTTCCCAGCCATGAAATGCATTGGACTGTGACAACTCGCACCTTTCAGCCTCGAAGAGGGACGCCTCTATTGCCTTTTACTAGTAGCTGTTTGTCACACTTTTGCAAGATGTCATTGGACTGAGAACAAGATGTAGTTTTGGTGAAGATCGATGAAGATTGCACAAACTGCTTGATGCTTGCGGGCGGCCAGCCAAAGAAATTCAGAATCCTCTCGCCCTCATCCCTTGGTTCCACATGCGCAAGGGAAGTGAATAATATATATATATAGATACAGTAGATAGAATATATGTATGCTAAATGAAGCATTCACATTCACATCCTCTTCAAGCCAGTCAAGAATGCTGAGACGTGTCAGCTGAAGTCTCAAGTCAAGTGATCCAGGATCGCGTAACCTGACCATCGTGCTGCGCAGCGCGTGTTTCCTGAGTCTACGGCATCATCTCGAGGCAATCGTTGCATGTGCATGACCTTGGAAACCAGGTGCCCGTGCATGGCAGTGGAGCATCTGTGAAGCATCTGCAAAGCATGTGCTGACAGCGTGCATGCCCACGGTGCTTCGCACCAAATTGCTCCGGCCCCACAACAGGCCAGTCAATTCGAAGCACATCTGAGGGAGACGGACTGCATGCTCGAATCAACAGGTGTGGAAGCAAAATGAACGACCCGCGATGACATGTCGCTTCGAGATGTGTATTCCCAGTTCTTCATGGTTCACATATTCAACATGGCTGGATCCAGTGTGTGTGTGTGTGTGCGTCTGGTCCCGTTCTGAGGTAGCCCTTGGTGACTTGAGATGTTTGGCTGATGTTGGTGGGTTTCTGTGAAGATCTCTAACATAGATGTTTCCTACCCAAAGGATGCAACACGTTCACTTGTTGTTGTGATTTGTTACTCTCCGACCATGTCGGGTCCTGGGTGTGAAAGGGGTGGTGGCAAGTCAATCCCTTTGCAGAAGGTTGCCATCAAGTCCCTCAACTGAGTGCTCAAAATGCGTACTCTTCCACGATTGAAGGTGAAACAGTTTTCTTGTCCGTAGCAGGTCCTCTGTCTCTTTGTTCGTGGGGCCACTGAGGCCAGCGCCTGTGGCATACCTCACATCGCCACCTCAAAAGTATGGCATCTGCATCTCCGAATCACAGTTCTGCCCTCAGAACTTTGACATCCAAGGTGTGCTTTCAAAAGCCAGGATTCCTGGAATAGCGCCTGAAGACGAGTTCATTCATGAAAGAGTCAGGCAGTGTTTGTGGAGGACCAACACTCGGTGTGACGAACCCTCAGTGTGACGAGCCTCGGTTTCGCACCAGTGTCGAACGATTCGAGCATTGGACCGTTGGAGAGCATGCACCACTAGTGACACTAGTGCTCCTGGCCTCTGCTGCTCCAACCACTGCTGCTGAGGCATGTAGAAGTCCCATAGCTCACGGATTTGAATACCTCGATGTCCTCAGGCTGCGGACAGACGGACAGTTGCTTTTTCTTCAATCGTTCAGGGGCAATGTCCTGTCTTGGCGCACAGCAAGTCTTTGGCACCTGCGATACACACTTCAAGGACTTCAAGGGTCCACGGTCATTCCTGGTTGATCCAAAGGTTTCTGCTGAGTTCTGTCATCCAGGGAGTATAATTATGTACTGTACAGTATTTACTGTTGTTCCAGCATCTGGGATGATCCAGGCTGACTTGCAACTCCCCACTTTTCAGGATTGTCAACGCAAACATCGACAAACAAGAACTGGTGCAGAATAGTCCGGGTCCCTAGGAACTCTTTCCCCCAGACGGCCCAAACGGCAAAGCATCTTCCCCCAAGCCCACAGTCCTTCTGGCAGCTGTTCCCAACTCTCCTTCTTAGAACGAATCCGTGGCTTCTCCTGCATTAAAGGAACAAGCCGCTTTGGGGAACACTTGACGATATATATGTATATATAGAATTATATAGAGCAATCTCAGCCCTCGCATGTACGAAAGACCTACTGAGCCAATGGCACGGAGGCGTGGGTTGTTGTGAAAAGCTGGTTCAGCGAAACAAAATTTAAGTAAAATTTGAAAGGAGCATCATCATTTCAACTTTCAATCATTTGCACGTAACACTTTGTTCACTATGGACCCCCTGGCAACTTTCGGCTAAGCCTCGTCACATTCCGGATGGTAGTAGCAAGAAGCTACTAGTAGCAAAGGGCATTCTACTAGGAGCAAGGTCGCTACTAGTAGCTCCTGGCCTTACTACTAGTAGCATTCGTACTACTAGGGGCTGCCATTGCATAGGTGCACCCTTGGTGGCGGAGAGCGCCCACCTCCCGGGCAAATGATCTGACCGTATGACCAGGTGGAACAAACACAGGTTGCCTTCAGAACATAGCGGAGAAGTATCTGCCGAAAGTGAAGAACACCGAAAATATCCGAACATCATCTGTATGATCTGACCTTTTTTGCAAGAACTGTGAGATGCTTCAGGAACAGTATCACTGCAATCTCAAAAGATATTGTACCACAAGATGTTGAATCACTTGATATTGACCATCCAAACTACTTGGGACACAGAAGCATCGCACTTTTCTACACGGAAGGAAAAACCATCGCAGCTCCTTGGTGGGCGGCATTTCAAGGTCCACATCGATGGACACATCCTGACAGAAATTTGAGCAGGTGGGAATCGCTACTAGGTGGAGGCCATCGCTACTAGGGTGGAGAGGTTGAAGGCCATCGCTAGTGGGGTGGAGAACCTGCTGAACTGAAGTGAGCAAATTAAAGGTGTCCAACCTGCTCCACTGAAGTGGTTAAAGGTGGTTCACTGAGAACCATGCGAAAACAATCACCATGCTGGACCAAGAGCACACTTTCTTTCGCCTCCGAACATGCCAAGCTGAGACTGAGAAGCAAATTCTTTGTTCCAGCCTCCTTGCTGTCCACGGTAGATTCTTCAGATGAAGATGCCATAGGGGCCATGATCACTCTAAAGCAGCCAGGAGGCACAAACGGGATGTGATCACGCCAAGGAAAGGCGGCAAATAAAGGCCGCTCAATCTATCTTGTTCATCTTGTCAATCAGGGACATTTCGATGAGGTGAGGAGCAGTACTTTGTCGACAACATGCAATCTGGCTGCATCATCATGAACTGGAAATGGCACGGGCACGTCATGGTATATACTAAGTATATTTTGAACCTGTTGTGACAGCTTTACCTTTGTGAATGTCAATCTCTGGACACTTTAAAGTTGTTAATCTCTACAGGAACCAAACTCTGACAATTAGGCTCATCAACATGCCATCGCCGTGATCTGGATCTTCACCGACACCAGTCCGGTTTCAAACTCGCCGCCGGGAGCTGCACCCGTCCGTTTGGTGGGACGATGTCCGACTCCAGCCTCGCTTCAAGTTCCCCACACCGGCGGAAGAAAAGGAGATCAGACGGGTGTTCGGCCGGCGCCGCTCCGATTGGGCGGAGGTGTTCGAGCTCCGATTCAAAAGGGTTCCCCATTCTTTCAGCCTTGCTCAAGGAGCCCACCCTTTTAGCAAGTCTGTGGTTGCTCTCAGTCTCCGGTTTCCCAGCTGGGCATCCAGCTGGTCAGTCGGGATCCAGCGAGGCTCGTGCTCGCCATCCAAGAGGAGACGTAGCCGCTCCTGCTTGAGACGATGAGGGTCACCCCACGTGGGTCTAACACCCTAAACTGGATTGGGCAGATCCCAACATGCATGCCTGGAAAAACGGTGGGAATAGACTAAAGCGAATCAAAGGTTCAGTAGAAACACACACACACAAACACTTTGGCAACATTTCACATGACAAACATAATCTACTGGTCGAAGTGGAGCTTCGGTAACTATATAGCTTGGGTGCTTAGCTATGACTCATGCACATAGCGAGATCTGAATCATTGTTCATTATTCTATATTAGTTTTGATTTGGCACATCGGTCACAAAAAAGTCAGTGTCAAATGGCTGCTTTGTGGCCTGGCCACGAGGTATATCCACCAACACGGGATCAGCAACCTCAAGCCAGAGTGTCCTGGCAGGTGCCATCTGCCAAGTCAGTAATGATTACTTCTAAGGACGACGTGGCAAACCTGGGGTGTTTCAAACACCAGGTTCATACCCATCCACCACTCGTTGGATTTGTGATCTTTTGTGCCGGCAACTGTTGCATACTCTTGCAAAGCCATGTCAAGCTGACAAACCCTCGGTACTAGTAACCTTCGTTTTGCGCATGTCTGAGCGATCAAAAACACGCAGCATTAAGGGATATGAAGCCTTCCAATAGCGATGAAGCGATGGCCTCCAACCTACTAGCGATGGCCTCCACCCTAGAAGCGATGGCCTCCAACCTAGATTTCTGAAGGGATCTGAAAACCAAGGGATCTTTGGCAAAAAAGGGCTCTCCTGTGGCATCTTTCGTCACGCTCGCCCAGTTTCAGAGCAGCCTCCCGGTCTCCTCCGTTGTCCTGACATCAAACAATGTGACTTGAGATGCCCACATCACCCAAGACAGCTCAGCTAAAAACATACTCAAGCAACGTCTTGGCGAAACTCGAAGGAGGTACCTTGAAGCAGCGAGCCGCTAAGTAGGCACAGTGCCTAAGGACATCCAGCTTGTCAGCTTGCTGGTCTACTGCTCTAAATTTCTGTCTGAAGCCTCTTTGTTGGAATGCGCAAGAGAGCCTGCAAGCAACAAAGAGCTGGGTGGTTATGGAGACAACGGAGATTTGTCATTCTGGTGGATTTTGAGGCAGGGGCATTGCTGAAAGGGATTGATTGTGTTGGTAGAAGGGTGGTATTTGATATCAAGGTCCATTCCTATAGAAAGTACGCCCCTTTCTGAAAGTATGCACCTTTCCTGAAGATCTCAGTTTTCATCTCAAGATCTCAGCTTTTTTGAACGACCTTCAGAACCGCAGGTCACTCGAGTGATTTCAACAGATATTTCAAGTGCGACCAAGAAAAGCAGGTCCAAGGGTGTTCTTAAAGCTGTTGGCAGCTCTGAGCACAAATTGAGAGGGAACTAGAGAGATGCCAGTTTCCACCAGTTCCCAGGTCCTGCCGCACCAGTTCTTGCTTTCGTCCTGACTTGGCTGACCGACCTCCAAACCCCTGCACGTGACATCTGGGCTGCCCAAGCCCCCAATCTCCGCGCTGCGCTGCATCAAAGACTTTCTCCAGGCTGGCATCAAGCCAGGGAAACTTGGAGTCCTCGCCGAAAGCACTCGATTTGATCGCCGGCTGGAACACCTTTTTCCTTTAGGGAGTCTCAAATTCTCATACGATCGGATGCCAAGTGGTCTCAATTCGTGCTCCGCTGCGAAGGATGTGAAAGGCACGCTTGTTGGGCTGGCTGGCCTATTGAAATGATCCAAAAAGGTTCAATACAACACATGGCGGATAGACTGCAATCTGTTTTGCATTGTTTTCCCCACCATGCTGCAACAAAAGCTTGGACCCCAAATCGACCGGCTGGAGTCTTAGCAGTTTCGGGTCACGAGACACGCCTTCTGCATTACATGTTCCCAAATCTTCTCAGGATCCACCTGGACTGCTGAAAGCCCCACGACTCCGATTGGACTCCGGTTTTTGCGATGGAGGTCAAGCATTGAAAGACCCAGGCACACATGAAATGCACAAAAACTTTCTGACTGAGACCTCTACATAAGTTTTTGTGTTTTGTTTAAAAAAATTCTTGAGTTCCAATGTCAAAGCGGCCATCAACATTTCTCTAGCAAATTCCGATTGTTTCCCAAGAAACTGGGATGTTGATAAGATCAGGAGCTGTGATCCTTTTCTCGTTAAACTTACGGGAGTAGTTCCTCTACAATCTTGTGAAATCCCTCTCAAAGTTTCTTCGAAACATCGAAAGTCAAGGGAGAGTACCTCATTTTCCACCCTTTTCTGATGTATCAATGAAACCACTTTCTATCTGGGTAGACCCCTCCGCTTCCATGCTGGCGCAGCGGCATATCTGCAAGGGCATGTATTTTTCCAATCTCTTGGAAACATATGTTCAATCATTGTCAAATTACCCTGTGAAGGTCTTCGCAAACATCAGAATTGTGAAACCTAGTCTATTTGCGATCACCCCCAAAAGACGATTCGCTGAAAAAAGGAGGCTGTTATGATGTCCCCCTGCATCAGAAGGAGTGGACACATGCGACACTGATTTTGCCCGCGTCACCTGACCGTTGCTGGGCTGAACCAGCTCAATAAGCTCTGCGACCAAGGCATCTGACAAAGCACATGAAAAACTTGACCGCAACGCTGCAAATATTGTATTGACATGTATTGACTATGTCTATGTGGGAAACTGGCAGTGTTCATCTGATGCAACTCCCAGGGAGCAGGGGAATGATACCACTGCTCAACCAATCTTCAGAATGTACAGTATCAAAATGGATGGTTGGCTGGTCCGACACCCCCATGCCCCCATGATTGATGGGTCGGTCACTCCATCCAAAAAACTGAAACACGGGTTTTGGTGGAAAGCAAGCTTTCTCAGCAGGATTTTTGGAATCATTTCGAGGGCTTGCTTGTCAAGCCTTTGGAGGGATGTAGCAAATCTCATGCTTTTCCCAACAAGTCTCAGGCATGAGTTCGCTCTTAAGAAAGTAACACCTTACCAACCAGCTGACCAATCAAACCCTCCGAAGGGGGGGACCAGTTGGGGTGTCATCCGAGCATTGCCTTTGCTTTGTTGTTGTGCGCGGGCTTATTAAAATACATTCGCGGGAACTTCTGCGCGCTTTCTTGGCTGCAAAAGGCCCCTGTGGGGTGCTTGGACTCTTTAGTGGCACGTACGCGCATGATTTCGCTGTGAATTTGGTCAACGCATCTTTTTCCGCGGTGCGATAAGCGCAATAAACAATTATGTTGCCTGCGCATTTTGCTTGCGGGGTTTGAATATTCCGCGAGGCGCTACCACAAGCTTCCGCAGGACTCAACACTCTGCACAAATGCTTGCCTTTGTATATAATCCTTTGTCTATATTATTTTGTTTGAACACACTTGCACGTCTGTCTTCCAGGTTTAGTGGTGTTTCCAAGCGAAAGCCGTACAAACAGGTCTGCCAGTCCCCCTCACATACAACATCAAACGTTTGAGTCTGTGTTGTTCCAAGTCTGTGTTGCTCCAATCTCGGTGGCAAGCCCTGCCTGGCCCTGTAGCCATGAGCGCATGGCAAACAGCGTGGTGAGTAGGGGTGTTTGTGAAGGCTGAAGGCTCAAGGGGACTAGCTCAAATCCGCTGTTGTTCCGGCTTGCAAGTATCAACCCCTCTTCTCTGGGGGATCAGAATGAACAGCAGAACAGTGCACATATGTGCAAATCATTGCACATCAATATATTTTGCTTTGAACCTATCGCGACCAGAGCCCGTGTGATTGGCCCAGCTTGCGGAACCATCCAAGGGAGACCCTGCTGCACCTCAATCACTTGAACAAAGAGGTGGCCTCAGTTACATGCGACTGCGGCCTAAGTTTCAGGGTCGAAGCATGCGAAGGCCATTGCCTTGAGCGTGCAAGAAGCAGCAGACCGCGGGCAGATCCCTATGAAACGGGTTCCTGCCTTGCCAAGTTGGGCATCCAGATATGTAGGACATCCATGCGCACACAAAGTCAGCAACCCAGTTTGCTCGGAAGGACCTCCTTTTGGCAGCATCTCTTCCGAACGTCTCTGAGCAGCATGACATGACAAGAGTCTTGACAAAAGGACTCTTTGGCAACGGGATCTTGTGAGGCACACGTCTGCATAAATTTTACACCATCAGTCAGGCTTTCACCATCGCCTCCCGAACCGCTTCCTTCTCCCGTCACATCAAAGCTCCAGGGGCTGCCGGAGGAAGCTCGTGCAAGTCTGGTGGGGCACTGTCAGCTACTGCAAGCTTGGCGTTATGATGTGGGTTAGTTTTCCACCATAAACCTGGACACAGAATGATACAGAATGACTTGACTTCTAGCGCTGAGTGTCCAAATGGATAGTTCTGTGACCTCCAAACCATTCTTGAATTGGATGGACACCTTTTCGATTTTGGGTTGCTCCCGAAAGCGACTCCGCCAAGCTGACAGCGCTGACAGCTCCTCAGACAAGGTCATGCACCACCTCCAGCCATCGGCGGACCCCGCGAAAAGCGCCCAGAAACACGGCGGCCCCGATGGCATCGTGCCGTGAGTGTGAGACATGGGACTTTGATGGACATGTCCAAGATGGTCTGTCCATTCGGAATCGACCATTGACACCACCCAAATCTATGGGAACAGGTTGACCACTACCCGAAGCACTCCAGTCGGCCTTTGCACATTCATCGTTCGGTGAACATTCCGACCCAGGGTTCTGCCATAGCAAGATTCATTTTCGAGCAAACTCTTCAATTTGGACACATCGGACTAAAGTCCCACTCAACCTCTGGTACTTAGGTCCTTGACCTCTGAATGTTTCTAACCAATGGTAGATGTTCAAGAGTTGGGTCCAGACTCAAGTCACCATGCCATTGGAATTGAAAATCTTGAAAATGCAAAGATTGTGAGGCGTCCCAGGCGTCCCAACCACAGTCGTTCCATTTCACATCAACCACGTTCCAACCCCCTTTGAACCAAGATCAAACCCTTCGAGCCACGTGCACGTCTGGCTGGGACGCATCCGCAAGACGCGGTGACGAACCCGAGCGGCCGACCAATCACAGCGCTCGACCGGTTCCACGTTTGCCGGGTGCTTCTTTGAAGCTCTGCCACATGCAAACTAGCTTTGGACTTCATTTCAGCAAACTGGAGCAAATCTTGCCGGAGAAAACTGCATCTGGGGTCACGGTCTTCGATTTCCAGGTCATGAATGTCAACGCCTATCAGAAGTTCTGTGACCCAAACTTAAACCTTGCAGAAGGGCCCTAGGGGCAAGAAGCTATTAGGGGCTCCTGGCATCGCTACTAGGAGCAAGGACACTGCTAGGGGCTCCTGGCCTTACCGGACGCTACAAGGACCGAGATTCTGCCGATTCTTTGGATTTTCTCCGAGACGGGCGTCGATTCATGGCACTAACCCAGGGCCTCCAGGGCCCACGGGGCCCCGGAGACCGGGGTCGGGGTGGTGGGGGCTGTCGCCGGTACAGCCCAAGCCGAGCTCCTGGCCAGGAACCAGAAGAATCTTGAATCAAGCAGACTTAAACGGGGTTAGAAAAACACAAGCCTTGCTTTTGTGAAGTTGCAGGATCTCCAGGATGGACATTGCAATGCTTTGGCTCTCCTCTTAAGTATTAAAACTTGACGGTTGTTTTGTTGCATCCCTTTCCTTAGCCCTCATTAGCTCTCTCTTGATATTGTTTGTTCCAGCCTCACGCAACTTCACCCTCAATACCTCGCCACCTATATACTGTACCTCAAAATATGTTGCTGTCACTTTTGCTGCCATAAATGATCAGACTCCAACCTTGGGAGCTCCAATACCCACAGTTAGGCTAGGAAAAGAAGGTGCTCAAGCCACCCCCTATCTTGTCTTGACCTCCAATCGGAGATATTTGCACAATCTGACGCAATGCGTGCGGGCCTACGTTACAGGATAACATTTGCACGCGATCGATTCCTGTTTGTGACGAACCGAGTTCTCTCCAAAGTTATCTTGCTCAATCTGAACAGCTATCTATTTGTCATTTAACATCGGTTGGTGAGAGAAACGTGGTGATGCTTCTATGAACTCGGGGTCAAGTCTGAATCTGCTCCTTTGCTTGCCGTTCGGACCACTAATGCACTGCCAAGAAGAGCTGTAGGATCTAAGACTCTCTACATATCTATACATTGCTGATTAACACACACAAAAGACACAATTACTTTACTTCGAGTGATCCCCACCATGACATTTCAATCTTTTGTCTTGATGTGATAGTGAGGAGCATGTTGCCATAGTCGTTAGTATTGTAGTTCTCGCTGTCGCTTGTGGGTTGTGGTTGTGGTTGTGTTTGTGGTTGTGTGTTTGTGGTTGTGGTAGTGGTTGTGGTAGTGGTTGTGATTGTGTGTTTGTAGTTGTGGTTGTGGAGTTGGTTGTGGTTGCGGTTGTGTCTTTGTGATTGTGTGTTTGTAGTTGTGGTTGTGGTTGTGTCTTTGTGATTGTGTGTTTGTAGTTGTGTTTTGTGATTGTGTGTTTGTAGTTGTGTTTGTGGTTGTGTGTTTGTGGATGTGTTTGTGGTTGTGTTTGTGGTAGTGGTAGTGGTTGTGATTACGTGTTTGTAGTTGTGGTTGTGGTTGTGTCTTTGTGATTATGTGTTTGTAGTTGTGGTTGTGGTTGTGTCTTTGTGATTGTGTGTTTGTACTTGTGGTTGTGGTTGTGTGTTTGTGGTTGTGTTTGTGGATGTGTTTGTGGTTGTGTTTGTGGTTGTGTGTTTGTGTGTTTGTGGTTGTGTGTTTGTGGTTGTGTGTTTGTGTGTGTGTGTGTGTTTGTGGTTGTGTGTTGTGTGTATGTTTGTGGTTGTGTGTTTGTGATTGTGTCTTTGTAGTTGTGTGTTTGTGATTGTGTTTGTAGTTGCGTGTTTGTGATTGTGTTTGTGATTGTGTGTTTGTGGTCGTGTGGTTGTGGTTGTGCGTTTGTGGTTTTGTGTTTGTGGTTATGTGTTTGTGATTGTGTCTTTGTAGTTGTGTTTGTAGTTGTGTGTTTGTGATTGTGTTTGTGATTGTGGGCTTGTGGTTGTGTGTTTGTGGTTGCGCGTTTGTGGTCGTGTGTTTGTGATTGTGTGTTTGTGATTGTGTTTGGGGTTGTGTGCACACCTGGACCTCAGCCGCAAGGATCCTTGCGGTTGAGGTCCAGCGGTGCACACTGCGATTGGATCCTTGCGGTTGAGGTCCAGGGGTGCACGCTGCGATCGGATCCTTGCGGTTGAGGTCCAGGGGTGCACACTGCGAT